AAAGAGAAATGTCTTTGCATTTGGTTCCAGATTAGTTTTTCGAAAAACACTCCCCCCCTCCACCACATGCCTAATGAGCCCCCTGTATGGAATCCTTGGAGACTGATAACTCCCCTTAGGGACTACAATACAGAAGGCAGCTTTTCTTCACAAGCCATGGGAAAATCATTTACAAAAAGGAGACCTATATCACTGCTGTTCCATTTTTACCTTGGCATTGTATCTCTGAGCCAATGATTGAGCCAGTACAGTTTTTCCTGAGTGGGGTGGACCCAGGACACACACTTTACAGGGAGGACAGGGCAGGTGGGGGGCAAGGAAGGGACGTGGATTCCTCATGAAGTGGGCCAGTGATTCATTTGATGCCATCACATATAGCTTGTCCAAGAAACTGAAAAGTTAAACAGAACAAATCAATTTTAAAAACTGACTTGGTGCTTCACATACAGTACTTTATCCCTCAGTGCAAATTTGGATCACAGGTGCATCAAGGACTAACAAGTGGATATTGGTCTTCTGATCCATACTTTTCAGGTGGGGAACTGTTATTTTTATCAAGTTTTAAGACAAATACAAAACTGTAGCAGTCAATTAAGATAACCATTCTCCATTTCCAAATTCCAGGACCTTTCCACAAGTTTCTGACAACCTGAAACAACTTCGTAATTTTGTGTCACTTTACCTGACTGAAAACTGTGCCACGCCTTGAGCAATGTTACCCTCCTTCAATGCCACAGGGCAAGCACGTCCCCACTTGCTGCGTCGCCAACGGAACTTTGGTGCTACCATCTCAGTTGCTGCCAATGTGCGCAGAAGGTCATCAGTCTCTGTATCATCTGATATTTCCTCTCCTTCTTCTGCTCCTTGAAGTCGTAGGGGCACCAGTGCATGGTTTAATTTGAAGGTGTTCAGTTTCATCATAAGAGACTGAAATAAATGTGAGGTGGAACTTAATTACCTCAAAAGTTGGAAGCTAAAATACAAAAGTAATTACTGATGATAGGTATTTATATGCAGCCGTCTTTAAACAAAAAAAGAGCAATTGTTATATTATTTCAAAGTACTGTAAGTACAGTTTACAGTTTATATACTACTGTTAAATTCCTATGCTTTTTTAATTATACCACTAAAGAAAATTGAAACATGATCATCTTCTTTTTAGCCAGACATAATACTCACTTTGAAGACAACTTTTGGATTCTCATTACCATCCAACTCAATAAGCTTCTGTTGATCATGATCAGCCATGTAATCCTAAGGGGAAAAACACATTTGAACCCCATTCATTTCAGTTTAATTACTTACAAGTCATTTTTTACATAGCTGACCCTAACGCAAAAAATAAGTTCATCAAAATTGACAACATTCTCAAAAAGATAAGTCCAAAGGGAAACTGTATAAATAATATAAATGATGTTTATGTCAATCTGGTTATATCAATCTAGTTGTGGTACAATATGTACAGTGAACATGTTACATACCTCAAGCGTTCTCAGCATCATGTCACGATACTTTTTGATACTGGCAGCAACATTCTGAGGTAAGTCCTCTGGCCTTGTGACAAGTCTTGCAACAAGTTCTGGTGTGATCTCTTCTCTTTCTTCTTCTTCCTTCACAATAAAAAAAAATTAGTTGTAGATGTGATTGCCATGCCATCTTTCATGCAGTTATGTTTTTATCTAATGTAAGGCCATTGCATTGCATCATGCAGAATGTAAACTCAAGTTCAGCGAAGATTAAAACAATGGCATTAGGTAGACACAAAAGTCATGGTGAGTTTTTCAACTCAAGATTAGATACTATTAATAATAGATTGTAACACCAACAATACCAATATCTAAGTTCTAAAGTTTGAAATCAAATCCAACCTCTTCCTCTTCTTCAGTCATTTCTTCTTCTGCTTCTTCTTCCTCCTCATCTTCTTCTTCTTCTTCATCTTTTTCTTTATCATCTTTAGCTTGAAGCTCAGGGGCGTATTCACTCTTTGTGTAAAGTATATCAGTCAAAGGATCCACACGCTGCTCACAACGTCGCTTTTCTAAATCTTTATCTGGAATCTGATGAGAACAAGAAAATCAGTTGGCAATTGTATCAACTAAAACTAAATGTAGATATGTGCCACTGTTTTATTTTCTATTCAGAAAATGACTACTTTAACATCATATATCCATATTTATATCACATGATAAAAAAGACCTTGACAATTTCTAATATCATTTTAATCTCCCCTTAAGTTCATCTATGTTCTTTACCTTCATGTTAATGATAAAGTCCGGTGTTAGTGGTAGATTTTTGACAAGGTCAAGCTGATCAGCCATTGATAACCAGTCCTCACACAATGAAGGAAATCCATCCAGTACATACCCTAAAAAAGAGAACAGGAAATATTTTTGAAAAAATTTTATCAAAGCTATACAAAAGTAATGAAAAAAATTCAAACAAAGTAGTAAACAAGTAGGTTTTTGTAGCAACATAATTCAGTGTCTCTCAACAAACTACACAGATCTTGGTTATCAACATTTTGATAAGAAGCATTTCTGATAATAAATGTTTGTACTCACCATGATGGGCAACTTCTGGGGAACTGATCTTGTCCAATAAAACCTTTGCACAAACTTCTTCGGGAATTGCTTCACCTCTCAGCAAAATATCTTGTGCATTGGCACCTAGTTCTGTTTGCAGTTCAATTCCTTGATTGATTATTTCTGAGCCTTGGATAGAAGAAATAAACAAGCAATAACAAGCAGTCATAAATCAATTGAAAGAAATTACTCAAGCATAAGACTACAATAATACCTGTTTTGAAATAACACTCTTAACAAAAGATATTTTTCAATTGTCTGCCCAGTGTAGGTACAGATTTAATTCCACACTGATATAAATTTGAGAGAATTTTAAAGGTACAAAGAATGTTAACTAATCATATGGCTTCATTTACAAGTAGTAGATGTTGAAATAATGTTCACTTTATAGCATGCCCTTCCTACTCACCATTAATAAGTTCACATTTCCATGCTCTGGCAAGCTTCCTTGCAAGGGAGGTTTTACCTGAACCCTGTTTATGCAGAAAAAGTATCATGTCACACTTTTTTTATTTGAGAACAGAAAAAAACCATTTTTTCAAATAGAAAATAAGCTGGAATTTTTTTTTACCAGCATTCAACACAGGAAAGAAACTACATATAACAATGAATAATCAACAGATACTGTCAAAACTTAGGAATAGTTAAGCAAAGTTTGTCCTTGTTTACCTCCTCAGAATGTAAACAATAATGAAGAAATAATTATTTTGATGAAAATGTCTGCTGGAAAGAATAATTACAACTCACTTTATTCAAGATTCTAGTGGGCAGTGTACTAATTAATGGTATTATAGATAACTGTTTTACTTTTAGAAATGAGGTATAAAACATAACTTTCATGTGCTACTCAGTGAGAGGCTAGGAAGCACATAGTACAATTAGGGGAATTAACTGTACTTAAGATCATACTGTACGGTAGCACAACTATCAGCTCAACAGGATTTACAAACACTTGCAATGCCTCTTGCCTTGCTGTTCAAGTGTAATAACTATTTGGTGCAATGAAACTGATCTAAGACCATCAAAAGTCCGACAACGACTCTGATCGATTTGATAAAGCTGAGAATTAACTTGAGTTGCATTGGCTAACGATAAATGTAACTTCAGTCGTTAGGGTCCTGCTTGTAGATCATGATCATGATCTTCAGTTGTACAGTTCATTGACAGATCTGTATCTTGAACAGTCACAGGTACTAACCGGCTTTCCAACTATAATAAAACATGTTGGTTTGGAGTTCAGAAACCGTCTCTCGGCCTGGAAAAATAAGTGTATACAGTGTAGTTACTAATCGCCAAAATGCGATGTGTGTACGTCCAAAATTTTAGAATTAGCTAATACGAACATTTAAGCTTACAGCTAAAACAGCCTGAAAAACGAAGATTTGGTTAAACTATACTTTGATACCTAAACAAGCTCAAAGTATGACTATTGAAGACGATTTCATTAATGTACATGGCCTTTACGTTATGTGCGATGTGGCCTCTGTCCAACCGATAGATGTCGTATAACGGAAGTTTCAGCCTCGGATGATGAGAGCTAAATTATAACATTTATAAATGTAGGAAAGAACAGCAACTCAAGCCTCAAATAAGCTAAGCGCGCCAGATTCCATCATGTCTCTGGCAGGATAACGCTAGATCTTTCGCTTACCTCGTCTTCATTGAACGGATCTGCGTCATTTATGTTGGTGTTGGGTACGATTTCGACATCAGTCATCTTTCTGTAGGTTTAGATCTGAATCCTGGAATAAATTCAGTTGACTTTCCGTGAGTTGCTGTGCATTTCGTTGCCGACTGGCTTTTCAACTCTTGGGGCTGTCTCGTCTTGTATGCTGCTATGACAACTACGTTGTTTACAGTCAAAACTGTAGAGGACTGGAACGAAAATATAGCATTGGACTGGATCGATGACTCAGGACTCCGGATGCTGCCTGAAGCGGCACTCTCAAATGAAGAGGGGATTGATTTTGAGACATGCATTGAGTGAAATTCTTGGCATGTGCTTTTGGCATGAGCTTACTAAAAGAAAGTATTGAACATCATTTTGCAATTTTAACCGTTACGGGAATTTGAAATCTTCATTTTCAGTTTCAGTGTATTGAACATCCAGTCGATGAGTCTCTTTTGAAATTTTAGTTCGACTGTAATTGTTTGCCCAATACTTGCCTACGTTCGTTCATCAAAGTAACACGTTAACTTTGCGGAATCCCCCACCGTGCCTTACCCCACCGCAATTTTTATCAGCACGGTTGTTTCATTTGTGACGTCACAAACGATAGCGCGTGTAAACGTCGGCTACTCAAAAGTCCTGCAAAATGTATTTGTAGAGGCTTAACCGGCTGCTTTGACTACTACTTCATTTGATCACTCGAAATATACTGGTCAAAACTGACGATCAACTTGTCTCAAACTACTGAAATGTCGTTCATTACGATTCACTTTGGAGGTAAGTGTCACCTTTTATTTCGATTTTTCAAGTAAAATAGTTCCTTGTTGTTTTCAATAGTTAAGCTCAATCTTGATCGTTTCCCTCGACTTTGCAGACAACCAGAAATTATTTTTCAACCTCCTCTGTCCAACTGTCATTTTATATAAAAACATCAAACTGAGATGCGGGTGCGAAAAACAAGGTACCGAACATTTCAGTCTGTTGAAATTGTTATTCCTCCATCGAGGATAATGGAGTTGTTTTTTAAGTTCCAATGAAAAAGCAGGCAATCGTACTGAATACCTCACTGCGATGTTTGCCTGTATTTTGTCATTCGTTTTACATTATCTTGCAGCTGTTATAGACATCGCGGATGAAAATGGTTCTCTGAAAACCATTTATGAAAGACCACCGGATCAATATGCGTCCCAATATCTTCAAGGGAGAGCAAACTTTGTGTTACTAAAAGTTTTAAGTAAATTTTCTTTCTTTGTTTTTCTTTATTTAAATCATTAGTGTACATTGATAAAAATATGTTTTCAAATCAATCTGTTTTGACATGAGAGTAACATATTGAACCAAAATATTCCAAAACAGAATTTACAATTATTGCAAATAGAGATGTTGCTCTAAGATTGTTAATCAGGATATGGCCTACACAAGGGGGTAAATGCCTAGCTTTCAACTTAGGTTATTTATAGTTTAGAGTAAATTTCGTGGTCATGAAAGTTGAGAACAATATCTAACTCAATTCTAAATACAAGGGTAACCAAGCAAATGTGTCTTTTGTTACCTGTTGACTAGAAAGCATTTCCAAGAAAAAAAAATACATATAAAAGAGAAATGAAAAAAGCTATTCAAGAATAACCATTGAAAGGACTACTTCTTCCTGTAGAAAAGATTGATGCCATCAGTGGAAAGGAAGTTTCTTCATTTGAGCCACTTTTGAATAATGTGACAGAAGTGTATCCTGATTTGATGGGTAAGCTTGATACAAAAATCCATTAATACAGGGGCAGTTATAACTGATTTTAATCAGTTATAGTTTTAAACAACTATTCAACAAATAGATTCCAAGTTGCCATGTGTCTGTTCAGTAATAGATCATAGATGACGTCAAAATGTGGTAAGAACAAAATAGTGGCACATGAGGCACAGCTGAGTGTGTCACTGAAGTTCTTACCACATTTTGATGTCCTCTGTGATCTATTACTGAACAGACACACAACTTGGAATCTATTTGTTTTAGATAATAAAGAATTAAAAAAAGTTTTAATGATGACATCATCTATAAGTCTGTCCTCCAATAGATCATAAGTGAGAACCAATCAGAATGCATGCATTACTGAGCTTATTATATAAAACTCAATCCCACACATGTATTGGGCCAACATACATGGTGAAGATCAATTTTATGCTCTAAAAAAAAATTCTTCCCACAACAGCCTGAAAAAAAAAATGCCCTTTTTAACATAGTACAAATATTCCACAGCTAAAGTGCACAATTACAGAATCAACCCAGATGTAGGTCTTCCAATTCAAAGCTTTAATCAGATTCCTCTCATGAAAAGTTCCCAACAAGCACGATCCAAGTCTACTGCCAGAGGATTAGGAGGACCAAGCATATCGCCAAGATCTCCAGCAAGCCGTGCAGGATCAGTTGGTGGTGTTGGGTTACCAAGTGTTACCAAAATTAAGAGCTCTGTTAAAGTATCAAAGTAGGCTTACTAAATCAGCTTTAAACTGGGTTTTATTAAGATGAGAACAAAACCTATTCCAAAGTTACAAAACTCTATTTCAGAGGATCTAAGAGTAAAAATGCACAACTTAGGGCATTGACAGCTTTTTCACCCATGAGGAAATTTGTTTCTTCAGAATAGCAGTTTTATACACCCTTTCTTCTTCATTACATTTCAAAAAAAGGGGAAAAATATATCAAGTTCACAGAAAGAATAAAATAAAATATCAAAATTATCATAGACACCAATATTGCATAAAAACACATGAAATGTCTTTGCAGACCCCCTATCTTAACATATCTACAAACAAGCAAAAATCACAGAAATGTTTGTGTTATTATCAATAGGGTCTATCTCTTCTTGCCATCCTTGGAGTCTGAATAGCAACATCAATGAAATCTCCTATTTGAAACTTTTTAGACTCTAGTGTGACAGTGTCATCAGCCCCTTTACGCCCTGCTGCAGTTGAACCAATTTCTTTCATGATGAATCCACCACGACGAGCATCTGGAAATACAATGGCAAAGTCAAATATTGTGCCTTTGCGCCTTGCATCAGGATTGACTTCCTTGACAAGACTCATGAGCTCTTTCAAAGTTGCATCTTTCCTAAAATGAAGTAGAAATAAGCAATGTTATCACAAAACAGAAACACTCTGATTCCATCCACTGGTACCTAGAGAGATTTCTACAAAATAAATCAAGATTAATGCATTTGAGGTTTCCCAACCACAGCATAAACAGGAGACTGTATAATGAACTGGTATGCATTCCATTTGTTTTGCAACAAACCCTTCATCATTATCTTTGCATCACTTCACCGCCACCTAACCCTTAGCATGTCTTTTAAGCACACATGACCACCACCTAATAATCCTACAATTATAGGTATTTTAAACATGTTTGCGTATTGATCACATGTAGAAGGATGAAGTCTGTGCTCAAGCCAAGCGATCCACCCAGCTAGAGCTTATTACAGTTTTCCTTGCAGTATCACCAATCCCCCCTGAATAGGATACAAATCCATCACCAAGTTACCCACCAGCATTTCATCAGCTTATCCTGACAGTTTGCCAGTACCCATTCAACTCCTGGGTAGAGAACAGCACTGTGACAGATGAGTATTTTGCCCAAGAACATAACACCATGATCCGCCCTGGTCTTGAACCCAAACCTTGACACAGACTCAAGTGCAATAACCTTTAGGTTACCATGTCTCTCACAATTCTTCTGGTAACAAAGCACAAAATTAACCTACCATGTGTACACTTGGAGTTCGTTTGATGGTAAAGCTGTCCTGGAATATTCATCTAACCTGATGTTATCATAAATAATAATGATGATGATGATTTATTACAGAGTATCCAACAAAGTAAGGTTCTTCAACTACAATTAATACACTATAAATCAACTCTAAAAAAAGAATATACATAAAAAAAAGAAAAACAATTGTATTTGCTGCTTAAAGTTCCTTACATAAAAGATGTCTCTTCACACTACAACAGAAGGAATTGTACTCAGTTATGTTTCTAATAGCTACAGGGAACTTATGAAAAGTAGTTGCTGCCAAGTGCTGATTCTCTTGGAATAGAAAAGGACAGCCGCAATTGAAGATCTTAAGCTATAGGCACTGACCTTGTGTAGATTTAACAAAAGAAAAATAAATGCACCTTAACATGAAAACAGTGAAAAGCCACAAGTGATCAAGCTACAGGTAGTTTTGATCAGGCCAAAGAAAGCATTTTGCCTTGAAAAAAAGGGAACCATTGTCTCCTCACTAACATACAATAACAACTGTCTATAAACAAAGGTATGACTTCCCTCTTGCAAATCAAGCAAAAAGCACAACAAGACACATGATGTTTTATCCATTTACTTGTGAGGGATGACAAAAAATGAATCCTACTTAAATATTTTTATTGACCGCCAGAGCTTTATTAACCACATTCACTCAACAATTAGCTGAAAACACAGCTTGAGAGTCGAAAAAACTCGAGGAAAGGATCAAGAATAATAAACCAGTGTGTAAAGTAAAGTAGTAAAGAAGCAAATTGAGAGAAAAAAGAATAATTCCAAACTATTCAGCAAAATGCGATTTACCACGAAGTGTATCTACCTTAAATTACATTAAACTTATCTGGTAAGTGAACACAGGACTATTTAAACTTCATTCCAACTCAGTTCGTTTGCTAATTTGCGGGACAAAAAAATAACCCACACAAAAGGACTACCAGATTGCATTCGTTCAAAGAGGTTTGACATTAAACTCTGATTACGAGATACGAAAAGCGGCTTTATTTCAATCTTACCTGTGATGTCGGCCTTGGTTACAAAACACTCTGAGAAGCAGCGGGCAGGTCTGCCAATAAACAAAGACACGCGGTTGATAAAAGTGCAACAATTTTGAATCGTCTTCGTTGTTTCTGGAACAAAATACAACGATCTAATCTGTACCTTTTCCCTATCAATCGTAGGCTTCTGGTCATTTTTTTCTCGCTCTTTTTCCTGTTCTTTGTCTTTTTCTCGTTCTCGATCTCGAGAACGGTTCCTTGCTCGTATTGGAGACGATGCACGACCCCGCGTGTCAGCCATCTTGGATTTATCAGTGTACCTTGGTAGCCTAGCCTAAATAGTAGGGATTAAGGCTGATGGGAAGTATCACAAGACTCAGCACCACCTTTTGCGTGTTGTCGTACTAGCAAAAATTTCAAGATGCACCATGAGCCGTACTTTTCCTCAAATTTCTGCATTGCCGCCAAATCAGCTGAGACGGTAGGAAAGGCGCAAAAAGGTGGCTGCGTTAGATCTGACGTTTAAAACTGCTATCTTTCTAAAATAACGCCCCCTTAGTGGTACTATTTTAAGAACAGGCCTAAACTATGAGTCCACTTCCAATTCTCAATCAGAGAGTACACAGCGAACGTGATAAAAGCTACCCATGATATGGATTTCACTGTTTTTTTTTTTTGTTGGCGTCCTTCTGTCTCGGGAGACAATGGAGTTGCGCCCATGGTCAGTCTGTGGTGGAGCTGCAGCGCCGGCTGTGGCTGTAGAGACCGATCCTCGAGCGGCAGATCCTGCTGCAGTTGCTGCATGCGAAGACGTTGTCGTCCGAGGGGGATGGGTTGGCCTCTGCTCTCTGGCGCCTGCGAGCTCTCTTGTCTTCCCACTGCTCCTCTCTTTTCTGCTCTGCTGTCTTGATGGCTGACATGGTGGTGGATCGCCAGCCGCTGCGGTCCGCTGCCAGTGCTTCGAAGCCTGCTGGCGCAATGCCACCCGCCTTCAGGTCCCGCTTGAGCACATCCTTGTAGCGGAGCGAAGGTCGTCCAGTGGGTCTGGACCCAGTGGCAAGCTCGCGAAAAGTGCATATTAAATATACAACATTTTATTTGGCCTACATTCAAGACCTATATTTACCCAGTCCTTCCTGTGTGCCACAATGGTCGCGAATTATGTTTCATCAGCATAACAGGTTAAGGGATGGGTGATATATTCGGGTCCAGGGAGGGGTGCCTTGTTGTTTTATTGTCACTGATATCACTTTCTCTTAACAAAGAGGGGTTCAATTGAACCTCAGGCCCTTTGGTTGCAAACTTGTTTGAAGTGTTTAAAATAGAGTGTTCACATCACAAAGGAATCCAAAGATGCTATGAAAAAGTTGTTTATTTCATATCTAAACTGTTCCTCAAAGTTCCTCTTTGGAGTTTTGTTTTCCAGACCTTTTCACTGGCTGAATGTCATAATCTCCATCTCCTGCACCGTCTTCATAATCCTCTTCATACAACTCATTGTTTTCTTGAAGTTTCTCCTGAGCGTGCTCCATCAGGTCACCAAGCCTGAAGTATTCATTTGTCAGGGCGCGTATGGTTTCCTAAATTGAATCAGATTCAGTGTTAACATAACAGACAAGAAGCAACTAGTCTCTGTACCGAAATTAACTCTGTAACGACAAGAATTTGAAGATAGTATTCTGACTAACTGTTGGTATTTTGAAACGTAAATTTTTGAAAGGCTCTCCCCAGCCCTAACCCAGTTCAAATTAATCAATTGATAATTCAACCAATGCTTCTGAAACTCTTACTTTTTCTGTAAAAAATTTCCAATAATACCAAAGCAACAAGAAAATAGAATTTATGTCGTCTTGAAAGCAAAATAATACAATTGTTGCTCTCTTTTAATATGGCAGAGTTCCTCTGATCGCACTTCTTTTCCTAGAATGGCAAAATGTTTAGGTTAACTGCCCTTCTCTTTCCAGTTGCACTTACATCATCAGCTTTTACTAGTTCTTCAAGATCAGCCGAAGAGAAAGACTTGTCCTCGTCTGTGTCCATCAATTTGAAGAGCTGGGTGGTGTAACAAATAGATTTGTCGAGAATCAGGGTATGAATGTAACATTTAACTTACCAAAACCGGCTTCTACAACATTTTTAGACGAACCACGAATAAAAAACTTCCCTCATTTAAGGAAGTGAGCGTGTACAGTAAGTGCAATGATTTACGAGGAAGATGTTTGTTTCAGTATGGTGACGTTTTTTAATGGTACCTTTTTGGTTGTTGATTTCATGTCCTCGGTCCACGTCAAGATGTTATTATTACCAAAATAAGGATCCTAAAAGAAAGAAAATTTGGTAGTCACGTGATCATTACGATCAGTGCATCGCATCATTGGGCAACGTCAATTGGACTTAAGACAAAAATGTAACGAAACAAAGCGCTATAGGAAATGATTAACGTCAGTTGCGATTTTAACAAACAAGAGCAGAGAGACTGAGAAACTTTATGAGAGAAAGATAAACGAAAACGAAAAACTTTACCGGCAAGCAAAAACCAAAGAAGTTTAAAAGACCTGCATAAAACATAGAGCTAACTAGAGCTTCTCCATTTGTCTGAAACAGGAGCCTATTACCTAGTAATGGGCTCCTTTCTGAAGTTAATTTTTCTAAAATGGTTCAATTTTATCCTTATTTCAAAATTTTTCTGATACTGTTTTTTTTTCTATTGCAATGTGTGGAAAAATAAAAAATTAAGGTTCCACTTTAATCCTTTCCAGTGCCCCTTTGTTGCTATGCTGTACTCTACATATTTTCGATACGGGTACATATCTATTTTAGTATTACCATAAAAGAAAACAATGGACTCACTATTTTCTCTTTTTTGTGGTACTATTAAAGTCGGTCAGCTGTTTCGAACGAAAATCCAGATTAACAGTTTTACATAAAAAAAATGAATACATATTGATCACATTGAAGCATTGGTAATTTTTAGTGCATCGTATATGTACCTTTCTTAGTTTTTTGACAAATGTCTTGAATGAAATGTGGTCATTCTTGCCGAGAAAGTGTTTCAAATGATTCCTGTAAGGCAAACAAAGATGCGGTTTACTCAGCACGATGAGTCCTTGGTCAGTTCTCACTGAAATTTTCCGGTTCTTAGGCGTCAGTAAAACGTTTCTTATTGCATCCACTAAGAGCAGAATTTAACGCCAAAAGCTTGCACGTTTTTATCATGTAACAGCATCTCTCAAAGGGTTAATTTACTCCTTTTTCGCACTTAGGGTAACCTGAGTAGAAAAAAGATATACTTCGTGTTTCTTCAACTTATTAAACGATCTTCAAGCAAACGAACGCATCCTCAAAAGTAATAAAAACGGCTACTCCCATGCAAAGAAAAATTGAATCCGAAATCCTGCCTTACAAACCAAGTAAAAGTGCATCAATCCAGCTTACTTACATCAAAGTTTCCTCTGGTTGTTCGATGAGTTTCTCTAGAGTGGTGAACGTAAATTTTTCCAGGGTTTGATTTTGTTCCATTCCTTCACAATCCTTTGGAACGAAGTTTGCTTTATGCTGCCACCATAGATTAACTGCTATGTTGCGATCATATGAACGAACTTGGTGAAACCTAAAACAACCAAGAACAACACACGCCATCTACTGTTTTGGAACTGAATTTAATCACCATATGAGTTGTAAAATCTAAAGATCACAGATAATTAAGATTAAATTCAAGTCTTCTCTGTATTTATATCTACAGATGACAATTCAATAAGAGTTTAAAAAAAACTGGCAAATTCAGGTCAAAGGCAACAGGTTAGGAAGTGTACCCACTTTTAAGTACTCAGTTATTTAGGGAAAAAACCTATACATTTAAGGGATAAATACATCATTTCCGGGGGACAACAGTGCCCCCTAGCCTATAAATTTTAGATCTGTTTCTTTCATTGAAGGAACACTTCTGGTAAGGTAGCAGTTTTTCTGGTACCACGAATGTACATACTCCGAATAGAGAGTTGATGACCGCACGGGAGACACCGTCACTGGTACTAATGAATTGTAATTTTTATCATTACTATTATTATTATTATCATCATCATTATTATTATTATTATCATCATTATTTTTCGCGTTTGAGGATCTATACACGATAATTGTCACTTAACTCAGTCATCTAGAGACTCGTTTAACGAGTGAAAGCCATGTTCACAGTCAGAATATACCACATAGGGATCACTGTCTCCAGGGGGGTGGGAATCAGAAGATTTTGTGGGGATTACTTGGTTTTCAAGAAGAAGGGAGGGGAGATCAGTCGTCGCTAAGAGTACAGAGCGGGGGGGGGGGGGGGGGGAAGGGGCCTAGAGAAAATTGACTGTTAATTGACTGTTAATTTTACTGTGACCCAACCAATTTATTTTTCTGTTTGTAGGTGTATATTGTGTTTAGTCTCAGTATTCAGTTTGATTTCTATACAATTCCACCTAACGGCAACAAAAACATGGCGTTATTAGTTAGTTATTCAAGTTATTCATTTTCTAGTTACCATCTGTGAGGGATATACAAACAGTCTCCGGCTTTCAACGTCACATTGTAGTATTCGACATCAATGAGACCAGGATACTTCACAAAGTCTACTCTGAAAACAAAAATAAATACACAACATTATCAGTAGATAAAAAGGAGAAGTTCAAATATCGTGTGAGGTGCTGTAACTAGTCGTGCAAAGAAAGCATGACTCAAAGATGGATCAGGGAGATACAGAAAATATATTGATTTTTTTTCCACTCAAGGGCCTAAAGAAGCTAAGAAATATTTTAAGACAAATAATTGTTAAAACCTTCAGGTTGAATATTAACCTGTGATCCTGTCGTGTCAAGAATTTTGGTGTCAGACAAGTAACTGAAGAAACCCAAAGGTCCGAAGGAAAAGGGGTATGTATCCCCCTCCCTCCCCCCCCCCCCCCACCTTGACTCTCCCTTTGGTTCAGCCACTATAATCCCAAAAGCTTCTTTTCACTTTTATCCAGGTAAGTTTTATTATCTGAATTATGGCTGCCGCCAGCTTGAAAGCCTTTTATGTTATTTCGCAAATGAAAAAGTCAACTTTTCTCTCGCTGAACAGGAAAGAAAAATGAATTATTTCGGAGTACGTCTTATGTGAGACAGAGTAGGATTACCTATCAACATCAACACCAGAGTATCTTCCTTCCGGGAAGTCGATGGGAACCTGGAGAGAAAACATATATTTTACAGTTTGTCACGATCAAATGTTATTAGTTGAAAAGTCATAGCTCCTGATTTATTATCAATGAGCACATGTTTCCGTATCACTTCCTTTTACGTAGAACTATAAAGTAAATGAATTATACAGTATAGAGATGTTATTTACGTCCATCTGTTTATATCACCTTGAAACTTGAAATTTATGGGTGCAGCAAAATCTATCTGCGTGTCAAAACCCGGATGCACGATTTAAAACTGAAACTAAATGTATTGGCTAAATTTTTGAGCGGATTCAGCAAGAAAGAGTACTACTGTCAAAAAGGTTGGTCGGGAACGAAACATCAACATCAACGTCCTTGTGGTGGTTGAAAAATGTGCTCTCGAAATATCACTCATTAAAATCTATAAAAAGTATAAAAAGTCTTTGCTAAAGCAAGATTGGTGTAATCGTGTCAGGTAAGCAAATATGCCGCGTCTAAAACTGTAGGGGAAGATCCGGTAAAATTCCTAATCATCCACCTCACGTCCAGTGTCATGAGAGTCTTCCAATATGTTAATAATATTCGGAGCGCACAGCTTTCCTTGAGCTTTGCTCTCGGAAACCTGTTTCTTTCGGAACAGAAAATGTCCGTGGACAAATATCTGAGCACTTTCCCACCCCGAATGGAAGCTATTGTTTAATTACTTAAACATAAAAAAGTCAAAATATAAATCAGTGGAGGAGGTATCGCAGCCCTCACTTTACGAACGATAAACCAGGCAGCTTTTATCATTTTTTATCAAAGCAATATCATGTTCTCACTTCCTACCACATGTTTATACTTGTGATAATCTATGAATAATAATTCCTTTGTTCCAGCAAACAAGCAGTTGATGTTTTCCAGTCCATCGTCAAAATGTAGAACAGACTTAGTTCCTCCGCTGCTAAACCACATCACCTAAAACACATCCATCAAAGAAAGATTCATTTTATGGTTTCCAAAGAAACAGAAATATAAAACAAGAGGTTAAACTCACAGCATCAGTTAACATGTCCGACGTTTCTGTTACATCACGGCACAACAGAGGAGAGGGAAGAAGAACATCGCTTCTGAGAAAGAAAGAAAATTTGAAATTGAGAGCAAATATAACTCTGTCATTTAAATGTAATTCTACCTTAAACTATAAAGAAATCGCAAAATTATTATTACAACATCAAATACTTTAGCACGAAGAACAAATAATTTGTCTTGTTTAATGCTACATGTAATTGATATTTCCTATGCGTCGGAGCAGGTGTATTGGGAAGAGCGGTATAATATTATTACGAGATGAAATTATTTTGAGAGCTTAAACGATGCCGTTTTTTTTCTAATTTGTTGAGCTTAGGATGTATTCAAATGACTTTGGTAGTCCTAAAACCACCGCAGGTGTTTTCGATTCTACGATGTAAACCTGTCACTGAGATCGGGCTAGACAGGAATCCCAAACTAACTGACGTAAATACAAAAATGCAAGAAGATAATGACGTGTCTCGTATGTATTGGCCCGGTCGAAACAGCACGGAGAAGCATAGTTTTTAACTAAATGAGAGTAGTGAAATTGCTAATAAAACAAATAACATAAAGCAGAGAAAAGAATCGCCACAAAATTGGCTTAAACTTACTTCATAAACTCGGGAACAGAGCTCACCATATAGATTTCTTTCTCCTTGTAACCTTCAACGAATTCGCTGAAGGGAATTTCCTCGTAAGGTGCTGTCCGTTCCTCTTTCTTTCTTTTCTCTACTTGTATTTTTTCTTTGCTCGCTTCGGGACGAGACAAGAAGTATTCATCACTCCATTTATAGAAAGCTGTCGACAATTTTGCGGCGTTTTGAATGAGAACTGGCTTGCTAGGAACCACATATGTCTCAAAGAAGGTTTTTGGGTCGGGATAATTCTGGATTACTTCCAAAGAGTGCTTTGTGTTTCTTGAACCAAGCGGTTCTAGATGACCGGGTATTGAAGCGCTATCTTGGGTCTCGACTCCGTCGGTTTCTGAAGTTCTCACGAGCAGTAAACACGACGATAACAAACTGAAAATCGTAAAGAGAAGCCAAGAGAGAGATCTCATGGTTATATGCTCTAATCGAAAGATCGTCCGAGCAAAGTATTCCTAAGAAGAGATAAATTTATTTATAGGGAGTCGAATATTGGACTAGGGATTGACTTTGGTGTTCACGTCACGAAAACTTTGAGATTGCGTTATCAGTATGCTTCGAAAAGTTTGAAAACAGTTTCAAATTTTATCAAAACGTTCACGTTTTCTGACTGTTTAGGCGTTGAGCTGGAATGTTTGGCTGTTATTTGACACTTTTCAAGAGCCTTGGTGAGTTTTCAATGTGTCTTAAGTGGTTCCTTAATAATTTTTTTCTGGAAATGGTTATTTTCTTCACATGAAGCTTTATCATATTAATTTTTTACTTATCGGTAAGTTTCTAACTTATTCTGCTCTGTTCTGTAAGTGTGATCTCAGGAAGTAAGTCATATCCTTTCATTGATTGCTTTAGCCGAGAGTGATCCACGCTGGACACTTTTTAAAGTTTACAAGTCGTACATTTGAAGGACTTAAGACGTGCATTTTAAGGACTGTTTACCATCCCAAATGTCATGTGAGGTCATTTAAATTTAATAAGATGAGGCAATTCACCGGTCGTCTTTCACATAGCGTGCTTCATCGTAAAGTTATGTAGCTTTCAACACAGCGTCCGGGGTCCAGTTACTCATATAGTAATCCAATATTGCACTCATTTCTGTGTTGTGTTTTAATGATCTTGCACTCATACTTTGATATGTGCCACTGTTTTCCGATTTTGATGACTGAATTTTTGAAAGGAACCTGTTCAATTTTGGCAGCCTGAGCTGGTTATAATTTCTATGGTGCTATATTCATCAAAATTCAGCCTCAGGACTTTCGTTATCCACCTGTTTTAGTATGCGGGTGTTTATTGCAAATCATACGAATTCTTATAAGATGGCTGTTCCACCAAAGTAAGTTCGCGTGGTTGAGCAACCAGGACCAAGTGTTTCTAAACTAAATATAGGTTGAATGCAATATCTGGGATATATTTGTCTACTTACGAGTGAAAAATATTGCGCGGATTTTTTGTGGGAAAGGAAACGTACTACAAAAACCAATATCGACCACAACACTGCAAGGTATTTACATAGATTGTGATCATTCATAATAAGTGAACTAGGAAACATTTAGAAGAAGAAACCACCACGTGCTAAACAAACAAAACGAAAAAAAGCTTGCTGTTCCATGGTATTCAGATTCGGATTAAGGATCTGGTAGACCTTTGGGTGTCCCGAAACATTATTACAGTGCAACCACCATAAATGGAAAGTTTATGAAATGTGCTATCCAGCAAAACTTGTTTCATCTTGGTTTCATCTAATTGTAAATTTCCAAAGGCGTGATATCTGGTTCATCACCCGATCGACCTGAACGGCTGCAAATATGATCATGCTCGAGACACTGGTCTCTTGAGCTTCGTCAGTTTCATATATATTTAGGCCATAGCTTGGAGTAACCCCACAAAGATCCATTTCGAAACTTGACTTCACATCCCGATCAAAATTAAACTGCCAATCTGCCCCCGGACCTACCAAATTCCTGCAGCCCTTTGCTTATCAGCTAGCCCAGTTTTCGCTCTTGGAGGGTCTGGTTCATTTTAGTAGAGTGCATGAAAACGATGAAAGTCGACAAGAGATTATAGACAGTTCATATACTCTTGATAATTTAGTATAATCAACGGGTTGATAACGTAAATTCGCCACCGTAAAACGTTTCAAAGCTGACGTTTCGAGCGTCAGCCCTTCGTCAGAGCGAATGACGAAGGGGCAACGCTCGAAACGTCAACTTCGTCTGAGTCCCCTAAGGAATCGAGCCTCAGATCTTCGGATTCCGGGCGCTGAAGCTCCACCACTGAGCCACAGAAACTCTATGATGAGCGAGGTCTGTTTCGAAGTTACATATGAAGCCCGTCCTGCATACTGCTAAGATCCGCAATGTCGATAGCGTCATGTTTGTAAATAGGATAAGAGAGATGGTAAGTTTTGAGCTCGGTAAAGAAATAGAGAAAGGTGTTTTCACTAGAATTCATTTCTTGTCTCTAAAGAAATGTTCTTCAACAATTAGGTCACAACGGGAAAATCTCAAACCTCAGCCTAGCCAGCCGTATTGACCTCTCGGTGAATACGGCAAGGCCTCAGTTTTAGATTTTCCCGGATCGACTTCGCTTTTCCTTTCGCATATGGCTTTTTGCTCACGGAAAATGAGTAAAAATGATGTGAGCCTTTGTCGCCTGTGGGTAAGATTAATGTATTGGGAAACAGAGATGAGATCGCATCTCTTTATATCAAACTGACATCGGCAATAAGAAACTACATTAGGAAAACACAAGGCTTTTCACCCCAAGCTAAAAATGAAATCGACATATCCCGGCCAACGCCCTGATTTAGCCTTTAAACTCTTGACTCCAACCAGTTCAATAGGCCATTTTACAGTTGTGTGCTTGGTTGCCAAGCCTTTGAACAGGAGTGAAGCTAAGGTTGACCTTGTTATGGTACTAATAAGATACATAAAAAAAATTACTCAGTTCTGATTGGTTAAGATAAATGCAGTTTTCAGGTAATTAAATGCAGAAGTGGGTTAATTCAGTGCAAAGAAGTAACAAACCGGACTGAACAATTCCTTGAACTGTTAAGCCCGACTTTGAACTTTTTTGCGCCTTAAATATGAAAACATTATTCTATATTATTGTTTTGATCGCACGCGGTTGTATTGACCGAAAAAAAAAACACGAAATTGCACGAGCTTGTAGTGAAATTTTGTTAGTCTTTGAAAAAATTTACTCGTGCTTAGTTATTCCAAAATGCACTCGAAATCATGTGATTGCCCACACAAACCTCGCTGCTTCTTGTCATCATGCACTAGATGCCTCACTCCAAATCAAAGGCCTGGCTACTAAGTACACAACTGTAAAAGATGACCCATTGCCGTTACGAAAAGAGATCATGATTAAAAATAAATAAACAAACGATAAATAGTTAAAAGGATAATTTAAGCTAAATGAGGGAGTTCTGGTTTTTGTTTTCGTTTTGTTCTCCTTTTTTGTTTTTCTTGTTTTGTTTTGTCTTATTTTCTTACATTATTTTTTTTTTCAAAGGTACCATTCACACAGTCCCTCTGATTAGAATCCCATTCCTCTACTTTTTTTGCGCATGGGCACGACGATGAGAGGCGCTAGGAATCTTACTTGAGCTTTTCTTGCGGGACACGTGTTGTGAAGATTAGGTGAGTGAAAAGCCATTCATCTTATTCCAATCTGTTATCAATGGTTTAGACTAAAGACTAAACCAAACTAAAGACTTTAGACTAAAGCAGGCGTAAGGTCGCCGTTTTCGCCATGGATCATGACCTGCTGTTAGACTTTAACACGCGAACGTTAATAGCCGGTGGAGGAATTGAATTATTCTTGCTTACACTCATAATTAGTTCCAGTAGGGGGCCATTTTAAACAAAAAGTAACAAATGAAAGTGCTTCTGCATAATGGTTGTAAAAATTGGGTAGTATGACCATCAAGTGAGTGAACACTGCCTGAACACCAGCTCTTTGAGTAGGTCAGTCGCCATAGTAAACAATACGTCAGCTTGTGTTCTGCGATTTCATATTAGAATTTTAAGTACGTTCTGTATTGTTACGTTAGAAGTCTTTCGGTAAATTTCCATGATTACATTTTTCCTTGAGGAGTCTTAAAATCCAACCTTGAGCCTAAAAGTATTATTTATTGATCATCAGTTGAAATACACTCTATTTAAAAAATTTGGCTGCCATTTTCGATTATTTATAACCTTATTGATCGTAGAAATGACGCCAACAATGTTCAAACTGATGTGACACCATGAGGCACACGGAAAAAGTTCTATACGTATTATCTTCGTTATTTAACAATTTTTCTCCTGCAAAGAACAAACTTTGGCCGAAAGCTTTCGAGATTTTAACAAAACATACCTTTAAGTTACATCTTGAGGTGATCACTGCAAATAATTTTTTCTGTTTTGGAGTTGGGGTCATAACGGAACACTCACTGACTTGCTTTAGGGGTAACAGTGAGGTTTGTTTTCCTTGGGCTTATCATTAATTGCTTGTCGTTGAATAATTTCTAATTTGAAGTTGAGGGGAATATTTAGCTATTATTGCATGAGCACACTTCAGATATGAGATGGTAAGTAGCTAACTGGCACCAAGTTAATAATAGCACCAAGTTGGCTTTAACCAGTCTCTTATTCCCCAGGCTGGAATGGAAAAATTGTTTTACTACATTTCATTTAATCCTGAATGTTTAAATTTTAAGTGCATTTCCATCTAAGGTGACTCAGAATACGAGCTAATAACCAGAGTTGGGTGAATCAATCAGAACAATAGATGTACAAAATTAATAATCAACAATATATACTGATTGTGAGGCGATTAATTTTTCAGGTGATCATAAGAACAAAAAGCACAAATTTATTATATTTTCTTACATTTAACTTCTCTCACATCAAAAATAGGAAAATGGAGTGTGGTGTGTAGATCATACAACCAATCTGAAGGGGACATGACAGTAGCAAAGAGAAAATGGAACAAGATTATTTGAAATGGCAATGTTAATAATTGTTTGCCCTGAAATTTCTAACACAAGTTTGTTTATGATTTCCACTTTTAATTGTGAAATATATGCTTTCAATTTTCTGAACCCCTGGTTTTTGGATAAGGTTGTGTTCAGCCTGAGTCCTCTTAGGCATAAATATCGATGTGTGTTTTGCAATATACAAAATTATTCTTGATGTAAAGGAGTAATATTTTTTTAAATAGAAATTTGTCAGAATCAAACCAAAAAATAAAGGATTTTTAAGGATTGATGAGTTGGAGATTGTCGATGACTCTTGAAAAAAAATCCTGATCATATTTTTGTAGAGGTGAAAATTGTTGCACAATTCCTTTTATGGTCAGTTTCAAAGAAAGATAAACATGCATTGTTATAATGATCTGTTTGTTTTTTGGATGGGGAACAATTTCCCACCATGGGAGGCATCGCCCCCTTCTTGTACTGATTGATGCATTTTTTTATCCCTGTAAAATATGATGAAGGGTTTTCCTAAGAATGAATGGAGATGGTAGGTGTGCTCTAATTGGGCAAAATCGTATTGTTTACCATACCAATAAACCATTGCTATCTTACAAAAGCAACGAACTGCATGTTCACTTGCCTGATTATGTGATTGTTATGCTCAGTTAAGGATACATGTGCAGTGCAATACTGAGGAATCTCCTTAACAAGCATACCAATTCACTGTACATCTTGGGAGAACTTGAGACCAGTCTGTAAATCACTTGCTTTTGGTTTGTGACTTAACTTCCCAGTGTTGTTTTTTGCTAAATATATGTCTTGGGATTTGTACCAAAACAAAAAGAATTTTATTATCCAGTATGCAGAACAAGGCTGAATAGTTTAACATAGTTGAATTTATCTCAATGGTTTTGAAACTTTTGCATGTGGCAGGGTCAGGATTAGTTTATACTTTTGCCACTTTGAAAAAGGGTATGCAAAAGATTTGCTGTGTTCACCAGTGAGATATCTTCATTTAATTAAACTACTTTATTAAAGGATAAGTTCTTTTAAAAAATTGTTGACAAACAATTTTTATTCCTACACAGATATTTTGGTGGCCTCTAGTTACACAACAGCTTGATAAGGAGATCATACAAGTGAAAAAATGAGACTGAGGAAACGTAGATTACTAGTTCGCATGGTACTTTTACTTGTTCTTGTGGGGCTTTATGTAGAGATAAATTTACAAAGTTATTCTTACTACAAGAACTGGTTTTGGAGACCTGTTGTCAAGTGTGAAAACAGTGAAGAAGAATTAAATGCACTAGTTGACCTTACGTATCAAATTCACATGATTTTAAATAAAATGAAAGTAGGCCATTGGCTAATGTATGGTTCGATATGGGGAGCCTTGCGGATTGGCAGACCCCTCCCATGGGACAATGATGTGGATATTGGATTTTATGGAGAAGAAAGATTTGCACATATGACCTTAAATGAATTTATCGCTCCCTTCAAAGCTGCAGGACTTAAAGTGAAAAACAAATGGATTCAAAGTGGAACCATTGTCATTGAAAAAGAGGGTCTTCCACTAACCGTAGACTTATTTGCATTCTACAATCAAGGAGGAGTTATGAGAAGAAGAGGATTAGAGTCTTGGATTTTTGCTCTGAATTATCGCACTCATCACTCCTTTCCTGCTAAGCTAGTTGAACCAGAACTTCCTCAAGCAAAGTTTGGCTTCTTCAATATCTCAATTCCTAAAGGAGGGATTGAAATTATGAAGCACCTATACCCCTATAACTGGTGGAAAGAAGTTCCCCCAGTTGGGTGTTGAGCATAGAAGTCAACATAGGAAAGTTTTTAATTAACTTTAACCCTTTACACCAGTCATCAGCAAAAAAAAAAATTTCCACACAGTTCTCTGTGAATTGCCCATGGTACCAACCAGGAGAATTTGCAACTTGGAGGGTCAATTTTTTGTTATTATTCTTGTGTCCATAATGTTTAATTTAAGCAGTGATACTGCAAGGAGATTAGAAAGTAGTCACTCTTTGGGATTGAAGGGTTATGATTTCCTCTATTGTGTAGATTTTAATGATCTACAGAGGCAGTGTGGCTGAGTGGTTAGGGTGCTGGTCATGTAATCTGCTGGCCTGAGGTTCAAGTCCTCCACCCTGCTATTTGTTAGATTTGTTCTCAGTTATTCCAAGTTCAACTTCTTGGCAGCGCTTTGTACTTAACCAACTGGTCTGTCTCCAGTAAGTTGGGATTTTTTAAACATTTGTTTATTTATAATGTTTTTCTCAATTTGTTTGTATTGGCCCTGAAAAGCACCATTGGGGAAGTGGTCAATTGATGTAATTATAATTATTTTTTTAAATGGGAAAGATTGTTATATTCTGTCTAATGAGATTGAATTTTTTAAAAAAATTACCGTCATTATTATTATTAATAATACAATCATGTAATTTTTCAACACTTATTTAGAGTGTAATCTTTGTTTGATCTCTTTAAAAATTATTTATCACACAAGTCTAAAAGCAGTGCTCCAAGCTGGGACTGTTCTGGTGGCCTGAGAGAAGAAATTTTGGCCAATGAATTGGCAGCAATGGTCTCCAGTTTGGCTCCCAGTCTTTAATCACCATGAAGCTAATCACTTAGGGCTGGTTATTTAAACAAAATTAAGCTGTAGTCTAACAAAAATTGGTCCAAAGCCATCTTCAATTTAGCTGAACCTTTTCTCTGAACATTTGTTTTAGTGAAAAGGGTCAAGAGGGCCAAAAGGTATCAATGGAAGGACATTCTTTTCATTAAATCAACCCTCTTAATAGATAAACTAACAGTCACTGAGTTAAATAACCAGCCCATGGAGTTAATGGTTGTAAAGTGAGGTTAACTTTTATTTACCATACTATTGATGCTTAATTGTTTAGTTCTGTGTTTAAAATATGCCATGATCTTCCTATGCAATTGAGATGGGGATTAACCCAAGAAATGAGTACAAATTTGCATGTTACTAAGACTAGAGGTTTGTTTAGTGGTACGTGTATATACTACCAATCACCTCTATTTGGTGCAAAAACATTTTAACATATTTGTCCTCAGATATTAGATGTTCTGAGAGGTGAACAATTTTGCAAGAGCTAAGCTTGAGAAAAACTGTGAGCTTTTGGCCATGTCACTTTTAATTACTTCAAGGCATGTTATGTAATTTAATGTAAATAAATTTTGTCATTGTACACTACTATTGTATTGTATTGTTAATTAACACTCAGCTGGCAGAGGCTTTTTTGCATGGACAAAATGAAGATTAGAAACAATTCCACAGAAACAGTTTGAGAAAGTGGACAATTGTCATGCTCCATTTTTCAAGAAAGTTGGGCTCAGGGTTCTATGTTGTAAAGTGTACAGGTCTAAAAGATCCAAAAACTCTCAAAGTTTCCAATGTTGGTGGTTTTGACTTTATCCTCATCCTCTTACACTACCTGTTGTCGTTTCATGTTTGTCTGATTTTGTAAATCTCACATACAATTTCAGACTGAATTGGACTCAGCTTGTCCTACTAGCATTACTGGAACTTATTTTTGAAAAGGGAATTAAACATTATAACATCTAAGACCTCTCCCAACCTGTGTGATTAACATTTTACCATGACCTTCGACAAAAATAACAAAGTTAGAAATTTGAAGTTATGGGAAATCTGGACTTGATGGGGAGGGCTTGGAGACTACAGCATCCACGTTACACTGATAATTAGGTTAAATGTTGCCCAACTTAATGATTGCCAAAGATCATTTTTGGCTTGTTTAACAGTAATGCTAGCAAAAAGAGGGGAAGATCATTTCTTTAAGAAGGGGTAACCAATCATGCAACATATTGGACACACAACACATCATTGGCTAAGTTGTAACATGTTTGTTTTCTTGAGCTTGAACAGATATTATATAAAAGGGAAATAGCTTTAGACCATTTATTACCTAAAATGAACATTGTCCAACCAGAAGTTATCAAGAATGAACAAAGTTTAGTAAAAACAAAATTCCCATCAGAATGGCTATACAACAATCATGGTAACAGCCATCCATATCCAAACTGCTTGATCCTAAAAGCAACCACAGCTAAGGTATAAGATTATTCATCTTACACAAAATCAGTGCGAGCTGTAGTAATCTTCCCATGCAGGTGTTTTGAATCTTTTCATTAATTAGATTCTTTCCTCTATGTGTTCTATGTACTAATCTACTTGCTTGTGTGTGTGTGTGTGTATGTGTTTTTTTTTTTGTTCTGCACTAAGGTGTAATTATTTTCACTGCTTAGCCAGGAAATGAATAACAGTGAGTACACAAGAGAGAGGGCTTGGAGACTACAGCAATGAGCCCTTGCTCATACCAAGCAGCTCTCTACAAGTTTTAGTCTCTCCACAAGTCAAGTCTCTCCACAAAAAAAAACAGATATTACTCAAGTGAAGTTGGAAAACCTTTAAGCTTTCTAGAACAGAAGTTAATCATTAATTTGATGGCTAAAACTTCACAAATTTTGGTAAGAAATGGTCTGGAGAATTTTCCAAAATACATATCACAGTTCAGTTCACATCAACTGTGTAGATGCCTGTCAATTAAATACTGTTTTTGAAAGAAACTTGGACAACCTTTCATTAATGTATAAAATCTGGAATCAGGTTTAAATTATAGAACTGCAAGCAAAAGCAAATTTCAAAAGCACTTTTAAAAGATCTGTAAATTTGTCAGTGGAATACAAGTGGGCTTGCTGGTATTTTTGTTCACAACAAAAGGCAGATAATGCAACTTAGGTCAGAGACCAAATGTTACAGTGCATAAAATGGTACAGAGCTGTGTTTTTCACTGATCAAGAATTACAAAAACAAATCACTTATTTACTACCAGACATTGATTATTTTCAATGACTTGTTCACACATGTCTGTCCTAAGATTGTCGTAGTTTAGCCAGCCTCTGTGACAACTCATCCTGCAAAGATTGAATGAAGTACATTGTAACAATGTTTGATTATTTTAATATTAATTAACTTAATCTAAAATTAACAAGGGTGAATCACGCCTGTAACTGAAAAGCAAGTTAAATTACTGGTACATAATTATAAATTATTGTAAATAATACCAGTAACCATTATATGACACCTAAACACAACATTTCTGTGATCCCAACATCACTCATGATTACTGATATCACAGAGTTAATCTAATGCTGGTAATTGTTATAAATCAGATTGAGAGTGCATCTCTTTATTGAGAACTCAGGAACTGAAATATAACTATGAGTATTACAGCTGAAGATTTTAACTACAGAACCTAAACTTCGTGGAAGTGTAACATGTACAGTAGTTTACCTGCTCTGCAGAAGCAGATGAAGCTGTACCAATTGGCTGACTTTGTTGTCCAGCTGGTAGTTCCATGTTGAGTTCCAAGCTATTTGGAGAAGATAGGATTTTGAAACATCATGTTTAAGATCAACAATTGAGAGTTACATTCATTTGATAATTGAACATTCATCCAACATAACACGTACTACACATTCATGAAAACTGGATTAGTGTATATGCAAGAAAAATTATACCACCTTGATAGCATAAATTTTCATGTTATACAAATTTACATAACTATAAAATAGTCATTAAGTAAAAATTAACCCTGAGTTTTCTTCCACTGTTGTAAGTTTGATTGTAGTCATAAGAACCAGTATGGTAAAGGAATAATTTCACTTTGCCAGAGAAGGGGAAAGCAATTTAATTATTACACCAATTCATTTTACTTACCCAGCTTCATCAGCAACCTGCTGCATAAGACTATCAACTTGTCCCTACAAATTATAAAGAACAGCACAAAAACGAGAATCGTGATATTATTGGTATCTTCAGTAGGTAAGAGCATTTGTCTTAGTCCAAGTTTAGGCAGTCCTATTGTGATGGACATATTTGTGGTTTTCCCTTTTCAGAACATGAGAGTGTATCAACAACTAAAAATAAGTCTTGCACAGTGCATAGCTTTGGACTGATTGGAGTCTACAAGACATGTTGTTTTTATGAAATTTTTATCAATGAATGTACTTGAATCAGCATTGTAAGCCAGTGACAGCTGGGACCCATACCAAGGACTAACACTATAGCATGATATTCATGTGTTAACATATCAAAGACGTTCTTCACTGAAATCCTTTAGCCACAGACACCTTAACAATTGGCCTAATGACACTCAGAATGTTATCATCTTAAATTTTAAATGCTAAGAACAGGTGTTGGAACCACCTCAAATTTGCAAAAAAGTAAGGTGCTCTGAACTAAGACATGACACCACATAAGACATAAGACATGATAGCAAATTCTTCACACCTCTAAGGGCTGTTTTCTTTAAAGGATCTAAGTGTACTTGCAGTGTAACAGTACAGATAATAAATTCAATGCATGATAGAACATAGCTTCACCTGTGGCACTGTCAGTGTTGTAGTGTCACTCATTGCATTCTCCATATAACTTGACTGAACATCCAGATGTTCAAACTGTTGTTCAAACTTGTCCATCAGAGCAGACACCTGTTGTTAAATATTCAACAATCAAATGAAGGGGAGTTATTAACTATTCAAGAATCATGAATGAGTTTTGGTAAATTGAAGAGAAACTTATCCTAAATCCTTGAGGGGACCTGCATTAGATTTATTCTGACTATTATGCTGGGGTTTGCAGGACTAACGTTGGATACTTAAACCATACTTTGAAAACCAAAAACAGATTATCAATAAGCAAATGAAGGACCAGAGCTTTCATACAGCTTTAGATTTTTTGTAATAGAGACACACCTTTTCTAAATTCATGGATTTCATTGCTGAATCCATTGACTTCACTACACCTGCCATTGAGCCTGTCACCTGGAAATTACAAAAGTAACAATAACACAGTCAGTATCAAACACAGCCAGCATCAATCACAGTCTAAGAGATTGAACTAAATAGATTTAAAGACATCCATAAAAATTTACTTCATACTTCAACTTTAAATTACAACCAGTAATTAAAGTGATATTGGAATTATCACGCTTTGCATATTATAACTCAACTTATATTAACTAACAATTATACCTGTTTCATAGTAACAGCACTCTGCACTCGTGATGCAGTAGCATCAATTCTTGAACTCATTCGCATAAAATTCAGAGCCTGCAATGAAAATGATTGTTGAAATCTCATTACATTGCTATTAAAGGATAGCATACCTTCTTCAATGAAACTTTTCATGAGCTTTAATTGACCCAAGGTCTTCATAACTTTTAAGTTAATTTCCATGACTGGTCATTATACATTAAACATTTCTTAAGTGTATATTCAAATTTGTACTATTTTCAAACAAAATAAACATTGACTTGTCTTGTCTCTCTCATTCTAATCAATTTATTAGTACTGAAATACAAAAACATGGGTGAAAATTACTAGAAAGTATGGTCCAGAGGTTATCTTTAATTACATCTTACATAGTGTCTCATAGAAAGTTTTTATCTCTAACACTACCACTACTGATTATTTGATATATAGTCAGAATTTGATAAATGGTTTGATTACCTGATTCTTTTGTCTTATGGCATTTTCTGCATGTATTTTTGCTCCCTCTATATTCCCTTTTTGGATAGCCTGAAGATAACATTTACAAGTTGTAATAGTTTTCAGCAGAAATCAAATGTAGAGAATATAGGATGTTAAACCAAAAAAATTTTACAGAAATCTCTATTTTGAGAGTTGAAAAAACTATTACTTTGGCTCAAGGACTGATTAAGGCCATGCATGAAATATACAGCTTGAGTAGGCGTCCAATGGTTTTGATTCCAGCCGTGTTTTTCAAACAGCTGATTTCAATCATAAAATACCCGATACCTTTTTTAACTTTAGTTTTTCCGCTTTTTCTTCTTTTTCACACTTCTTGGATTTTCTTTCTAAATCCTTTGCTGCAAACTGATATATTAAAATGTGGTTAGTACTATTTCAATTGAATTTTACCAAACTTCTAATTAGGAACCTCAATCGTTCAAATTTGAAACAAATATACTCACCTTTAAATTAAAAAGATGTTCTTGAATTTTGAAAGGCAGAGTTAAGGATCAGATATAGCTCATAACAGTGACAAACTACAAGTCGAACCCTTGATTTTGTCTCAGAAAGGGCATATTGCCATGTTCACTTTAGTGTTTTGTGTCTTTCTTAAATAGAAAGTGTGAACTTGGCTCGGACAACTTACATAGAATTTCAGAGTGAAAGAACTATATTAAGTCTATAAATGAGAATACTATGCAATAAAAAGAAAAAAATCACACATTAGCTACAGCAAACTAGTGGAGCAAGTTGCAAGTATTCCTTAATATCTATTCTGTCTCTGGAGAGTGTTCGATTGGTTGTTGGTCAAGGATACTTTCCATCTGGCTGGCCATGATCTCTGGATTATTCAGCAAGAAGAATGAAAGTTCAAACAACCAAATCTGCTCGTAACTCTTTGAAAGTGGCTTTTCTCAGCGAATCGATTTCGAATTTCCTCTACTGTGTTTTCATCTCCAAAATGGTCGTGTGATGTCATTCGTGAGCCGAAAGTCGTAAGACCAGCAGCATCCCACGCTATGACGTTTGAGCTGTTCGTTCCCAGTCTACTAAATTACAATTAAAATCCAATATGGCTGATGAAACGCGGTTGATCTTGAAAGAGTTTTAGTTTTATTCCTCTTTTGATTGTTTGTTAGCAAACCTCCTCGATCATGGCGCTTCGTTGGAGAAATTCTCCTTGCTCTCTGCTTTTGATGAGAAAACCAAATGATTCGCTTAGGAGGCACCTCAGCTCTCAGGTTGATCTACGAAATATGCGCTTAGCTTGTGTTGAGTTACGAAAGATCATAGGGCTTATCGAGAAATTAGGCAGAAACTCGCCATACAAGCTCAATGTAAGGCAGAAATTTTCAAGCCAAGTCAGTTGCGAATGAAACATCAGCATGAAAGCACATTCAAGCCATCACACCGTTATCTTTCCCCACCCCTTCAAGACGATCTCCTTTCCCCTTTCCTACCCCCTTCCTTCTCTATTATAAATGAGGGAAAATCAGTTGATTTAGATTCATTATTTTCTTTCCTAACAAAAATTTAATGTTGAGGTAAAGAGAGAAGAGTATGAATAAAAGATAAATATCTCCCATCTTACCTCTACAGGATTCCCAAGAAAGGAAAGTCATTTTTTCTGGAATCCAACCCACTGGAACAATGCACATTGGAAACTACCTGGGGGCAATTAGGAACTGGGTCTCATTACAACATGGAGAAAAGGACATGGTCCTGTACAGCATTGTGGATTTACATTCCATCACCATTCCACAAGATCCTGTGAAACTGAGACAGGGTATCAGAAATATGGCTGTATATTTATTGGCTTGTGGAGTGAATCCAGAGAAAAGTATCCTCTTTCAGCAGTCTCAGGTGAAGTTGCTGGACATTTATTGAAATTTTTAGACTGATGGATTAACAACCCTGTTTGTTGGGTAATCTGCAAATTACAGGGTTCCTCTTTCACTTGAATGTGTGTTCTTGCTTGTATTGATATACATGAAAAAATTATGAGCTTCTGATTGGTTGATGACTAGTGCAATTTTCATGTAAAAGAGTGCAGATTCAAAGAACAAGTGCAAAGCTATAATACAAGTGTAAATTACAAATAACCCAGGTACACTATCAAAATTCCAACTGTTTTTTACTTTCTATGATGCTTTTTTTCATATAAACTATTTATAGGGAATAACATGATTTCTTGTTCTATTTGGTGTAAATAAGTATTTGTAAATTTTTCAAAGACTACAAATTGTACTCTCCCTAGAGGTTTGTACAATTTTGTTGTCTTTGAAAACTTTACTCATGTCTATGAACATCAAATTGCTCTTGAAGTCATGTTATTACCTATACCAACTACTCTCTCAGTGTCTTGGCTATTTTTCATGCCCAGCTCCCCACTCAAAACCTGATACAAAGGTAAAAGTGTCAGGCAACTGAGAAGTTCCAAGAATATTGTTTATATAGTTTGTTTTTTAAATGGGTTGGCCACACAAAACTTGAATATAATTTATAATTTGTATTTTTTGAACATTTTCTCAAGGTCTCACAACATGCAGAGCTTGCTTGGATTTTAGGATGTATGGCCCGCACAGGGTTCTTAAATCGTATGCATCAGTGGAAGGTAACAATAAAAGTAAAACTGAAATCTTTTATTTTCAAATTTGTAATTTATCTTTCTTGCTGCAACTATTTAGTCAGTAATGATATGGCTTGGTCCTACAAACATATAAGGGAAGTATATGAATTAAGGTTAATTGTCAGAAAGTTTTGAAGTTGTTAGCCTTAACATAAAGTATAAGGCAAGGATGCCATCTTTTGCTTATTAGAAGCATGTGAGGAATACCCAGTTGAACAGAGTAGGCTGACAGCTTTTGACAGCCTTTGCATGGCAATATAAGAAATGTTAATTATTTCCTCGTGTGTTTGGTTCTTTATCTCAGACCAAAGCAAGTGAAAACAGAGAAAAAAGTTGTTTGGGATTATATTCATATCCTGTGCTAATGGCAGCTGATATTCTTTTGTACAAGTGAGTTTCTCTAAAAAGTAAAAAACTTGGATCATGACATTTTAACTTACCTTTTGGAGTCTTGTATTTCATTAAGAAAACAAATTAACAATATTTTATTTTCTTCCAGGGCAAGTCACGTCCCTATTGGTGAAGATCAGGTGCAACACTTGGAACTTGCCAGAGAACTTTGTCGTCAGTTTAACAACACCTTTGGAAACTTTTTTCCTTTCCCAAAAAGTATTCTAGGTATTTTCAACTTAGATTACTTGTGGTATGCTAGCTGGAATGTATTGTTGTAACTTAGTACTTGTCTGACCTTCGAACTTGTAAAACCCTCCTGGTAAAGTAATGAGCATGCAGAGGAATAGAAAAAGAACTTGTTCTTTCTTCTTTTTTGCAGTAGTTCATTTTAACATATTTTAACATAGTTAACATATTTTTTGTTATTTTTATAACTCACACTTCACACTTGTTCCTTAAAGTTTTTGCAAAAATGCCCAGGAAGCTGACATACTATTACTTTCAACAGACAATTGTCCTCGGGTGATGAGTTTACGGGATGGCAGCAAAAAAATGAGCAAATCAGATCGTAATGAAATGTCAAGAATTGAACTTACTGATTCCGCAGACCTTATTGAAAAAAAGATTCAAAAAGCAGTAACAGACTCTGAAGATCACATCAGTTATGATCCAAAAGCAAGACCAGCTATGTCAAATCTGATCAATATTTATGCTGACTTCAGTGGGTTAACAACTCAAGCTGTGTGTGGGAAATATGACAACATGGAAAAATGCAAGAGTGTATTTAAAGCTGATCTTACAGAGCTTGTAGTAAGCAAGTTAACTCCTGTGCAGGAAAATATTATGAGGATTCAACAGGATGTGGCATATGTAGATAATGTTCTACAAACCGGTGCAGATCAAGCAAGGAACATTGCAGCAGTAAACTTATTGACAATCAAGGAGATGCTTGGGCTTCAATGATTGAGTGAATTGTCATAGTCACAGTTCCCTGAGCTGGTGCTCTAAATTAAAACTGACATTTTCTTAAAACAGAGAGGCCAACATTACAATGGTTGGTGGCCAACCCAATTTGCAAACATGCAGAGCTTGGGATACAAACAATTACAATTTTACTTGATTGATTTTATTTTATTTTATTGAGAATGGTGAACATTTTTTGTTATACTTATCTCTAAATCTTTATCACCAAAATGTTATTACACATCACAGCTGTAAAGGTAATTTTCATGACCAACCAATATAAATTTCAAATATTTCTTGAATATTATTTTCAACTTTTGAACACTATCAAAGAAACTAAAGACTGTATTTTCTTGTCTCTCACACTCTTAGATATGTCGATGTGTCTACAATTCTCCATGTCTGACAGTCTGACAGGCTCATGTTCACCATAAAATCATCAGGTTTTCAAAATTAATTAGGAAAAATTTCTGACCTATCCTATTGGAAACCATGCCTGCTAGTCTAAAACATTCACCAAATTCCCACAGAATACCTCATGCAAACTTAATGAAAGTGTTTGATCTTTGTTTAGAAATACCACGCAATTCCAAATCTTAGGATTGTTTTTGAGTGGACACATTTTCTGAGCTTGTGCATGCCATAAAATTGCTAGGCCAATTTTCTAACTATTAAGTGTCAAAAACCTAACTTACTCTACAAATTGAAGCCACAAAGGAAACAAACATTACTGAACTGCAAAATGAATACAGTGTTCATGTCACTCATTAATATAATCATGCAGTAACAATCATTGTACTAATTTGTAACAAATTTTTATTGTGTAAGAATTCTTTTGTGCCAAAAATTTTTTTATTCATTCTATTGATAACTTCATCCAGTCACTGTTGAGTGAATTATTTACTACTTGGCAACAAACTGGTTGTTACAGAGGGAGTAAGTTTCTAAAGAAACTGTGGTGTTGCGCTGGTGGGAGAGTATAATAGGGTAATTTAGTGTTATCAACTGAGTTGAAAACGTAAATTGGCCTCTGTAAGGCTGATGTTTTGAGTGTTAGCCATTCATCAGAGCTCTGACGAATGGCTAATGCTTGAAACGTCAGCCTTTAAACTCTTTATGGTTGTCCATTTACATTTTCAACCAAGTTGTTAACACTAAATTACCCTGTTAAATTGGTTGTTATGTTAAGTTTTTAAAAATTTGTTTTTGTCTGTTGCCTCCATAGAATATATAAAACACTTAAATTACAAAAAGGACAATCATTTTTGCTGTATTCCATTATACATCTAGGAGAGTAATAAAAATTGTGGTGCATAACTCCACTTTTTTATTGTCAGAGGTAACACTTATTGCAGTGAATGTTTCTGTTCAATTTACAACTGACAATCACTATGTACCAATTTATTCTAAAATGGTTCCTGATTCAATCCAAATTACAGCACCAACAACAAATCTTAAATTATAACTTAGTAATTGAGGTGGTAGAAATAACTTTTGATTGTAAGTTCCTTACCAGCAGTAGCTTATGTGAATGGAAAAATGCATGTGTGCAACAAAGAAAACCTTACAAAATTTCCTGAATATAGCATATTTTGTTCATCAGTTAAGGCTTATGAAAATAAAGGCAATCTTTGCAGTAATGAACACCACTTAAGCAGCTGTGGAAACTGGTAGAGCACTGCAGCAGTATGGCAGAGCTCATGGAGTCAAATCCTATACATGACTGAATATTTTCTGACCTTATTTTGACTACTGCTTTTATCTTCATTTCTTAAACCACAGTTTACAAGATGATTTTCATATATTCACAGTCATAAATTATAACTCAGTCACATTTTTTCTCCTACAAAAAGCAACATTGAAGCTGATGCACTGATTTAGAATTAATTCAATTATTAAGAAGGACATTAATAAATGAAGATTCAAATAAAATAATTCATTAAAAACAAATACTGGCTGTGCAATTATGTTAAAGGAAAGCAAT